TGTGATGGACTGGCACCCTGTCCAGCACCCCTCGCGACCCCACTTGGGAGTAAGCGTGTTAGAAAATGGATGGATGGACGAATTCCTGCACCAGGAACAATGAGCTCATAAAAGCATGTGTCGCCATCTGTTGGTAGAATCAAAGAACTATCAGAAAGCCAGATGGAGGCTGGTTCTCAAAAAGCATTCTATTAGCCTAAAGGTGTTTTGTTAATGTTACCCAGTCACAACTAGCAAGAAAACAGAACTGTTTCAAGAGGCTGGATCTCCTGAAAAGTAGCCAATCACAGGCAGTGTACTTTCTCTGGCTGGTTCCAACCTCAAAGTGAGAAAAAGTTGAGATGGGTGCACAGAAACAGATCTACATGTTATCATGGGAAAATCTACAGACCTATAAAAGTGACTGAGAGAGTGATTTACATACGTTTGTTAGAAATAAAGCTGCTTGTATCAGTATTTATTAAAAGTGTGCACTTTTGGCAGATTTCTGACGCCATATAACCAGAGGTGGGCAGTAACTATTTACATTTACTCAGTAACTTTTACTTAAGTATTTGAGTAGTTTTGCTGTACTTCTCACCTTACTGGAGTAATTTCCATTTAATGTCCATGTCCTACTTGAGTAAAATTTCTTGCTATTATGTAACGAGTTATTCAGCAATCAGCTAAATATAAAATAAACGCTAGATGTTGTAAGAGGAAGTTCTTTACCCTCTCCTAACATATATACATTTCTTACTATAAGGATTGGTTTTATAGGCTTTCTGTTGCAAAAATGTTTTGGTTTCCTATCTGCATTTTTTTTTTTGTTATCTATTTTAGTCTTTAAAAAGCCAGTCTAAGTAACAGCATTATTTCTAAACCCATGATCAAACTCTTACTCTGTACACCAGTGTACTTTCTAACTGATACTTTTTTACTTTAGCCTGAGTAATCCGCTGGTAAATCCTTTTATTTGTCATTAAAATAATGTTTAAGCATTGCTACTCTTATTTGAGTAGATTTTTTGGGCTATTTTGCCCACCTCTGTTGGGCTCTAATTTCTCAACAGGTCTTAATTTAGCAAAAGATTAGATAATAAAAATTATAATCTAAAATAGTCCTATTCTTATGAACTTATTTTTAAGCTGATTTGAAAAGAGAACTATCCTGTCAGATTTAAGGGTCTTTGCAAATAGCAGAACCAGGCTGTGTGCAGTTACAATCCCCACCACCCAGTGGTGGGGATTGTAACTGCAGGTTCAATGTGGTTTTAACATCTGAAATCAGTAACTTCTGCTTGTAGCATTTTTTTTAGTTTGTATAATTTAAAAGGAAAGGGTTTAAATTCAAAAGCGGGAATTTTTGAACATAACGTTGTAGGTGTTTTTTTTTATTGTGTGATTGTTTGCTGCCTTTCAGCTCTACAGAGCGTCTGCACTGTTCGAGACAATCCGTCATGAGACTCAACAAAATCTGGATTACAAGCTCTCCCTGTTTGATCTGCAAACCAGCTCATACCAGGCTCTCCAGAGAGTCCTTGTCAGCCTAGGTGAATTTGTTTCATAATTCTTGTTTTTTGTTTGTTTTCTTTTGTAGCTGTGAGCTTTAACTTGTCACAAAGTATGTACTCCAGCTCGCCCCCTGATTGTTTGAGTCATCCTCATGTTCCGGCGGTTCCTTCCAGGGCGGCATGACGAGGCCCTGGCCATAGCAGAGCGAGGGCGGACGCGTGCGTTTGCTGATCTCCTGGTGGAGCGCCAGAGAGGAAGCAAGCAAGCAGCGAGCGCTGACCCTTACATCCCGGTCACTGTGGAGCACATCCTGGAGACGGTCAATGGTCAAAAGGCGTTGATCCTCTACTACTCCTTGGCAGGAGGCTTTCTGTACAGCTGGCTGATTTCTCCAGGCACAGGTGTGCAACTTTTGTTAACACAAATATGGTTATTTTTAGCACATATCTTGATTTCTATGTGTGCTGAATCAAAATCAATCAACTTCTGTAAGATTCTATTATTTGATTGGCCGGGATGACAATCCTACAAATTGCATAACTGATTTTTAAGTAGTAGGGAAATCATATTTTAAATGTCAAATCATTCTGGCTTAAACATGTATATAAATGTATTGTTTATCAGACCATAGTGTCCAAAAAATAAAAAAAATTATATATGAAAAAAAAAAAATCTTTTTTTAAAATCAGTTTTTTTTTTTCATTATCTTCTGCAGGCCAGTTAGTTATTCGTCAGCCTGAACACCTAAATTCGGCCAATCATATATCAGCGGTCATCTGTCAATCACAATTATTGGTCATATCATCTCTTTTCATATGTCTTAGACTTAGACAGACTTAGCCTCTTTATTTGTCATTTTGTATGCACAGAGTGCATACAGAACGAAATTCGTTACATACAGCTTATGAACATTGCATTGATATTTCAAATGTCACGAGTTATACTAAAAGTGCAGCAGTGGTCAAAGTGTGAACAGTGCATAGGATAAGAGACAATGTGCAAGTTGCAGTGGTTCAGTGCAAATAGGCATTTGTGCAAAAAATGCGTTATTGAGAATAGAAATGAGATGAACAATTAAAGGGCTAAAAGTTAAACGTTCAGCAGCATTGATGCCCGATAATGTGCAATAGGTGCAGAGTTTGGTTTGTGGATCAAAGGTTCAACAGTCATCAAAGGTTCAACAGTCATCAAAGGTTCAACAGTCGCAGCTAATAAACGCAACGGTTGAAATAAGAAATAAGAATAATTTCCTTTCCCATTGAGTTCCGTCCCAGTGTTCACAGGGATGGACGTCTGTGTCTTCAGCAGGCGTAGAGCTAACAGAACTGGCAGCGTTGTGAGGCAAGGGTTCAAACATGTACGACTGTAAGCCTTCTACACCAAACCAAGCTTCTGCCGCCCTGGCGTCCTCTTCCACAACATCTTCATCCCCGCTTTCCTCCTCTATAAATAAAAAATGGATGACAGAAGAGAGTCATCCAAGACCTCCGACACCAAACTCTTCTCCTCTTGCATGTTTCCTCTGTCCATAGCGTTCCTTGACAGTGTCGTTTCTAAGTCACCAATTTAGTGCTACTTGGTCCCAATGGAATTTCCCATTGGGAACCTACTAGCACTAAGTTGCTAACTGGTTAGCAACATGCTTCAGACAAACCGACCACAATTAAACTTGCTTGCGAACCTTCTGCCACAAGAATCCCGCCCTCCCGATAAACAACCAATCAAATTCACTTTATTCACTCGTGTAAAGTGGTGCACCACTCGGGAGAATTTGGAAATGCAACGGTTGGAACGGCCGCTTCCATACGACTTCAAAGCATACAATCATAGTTTTTTTCTCAAAAATAAACAAACATTTTTGTTATTGAGGATCCCGATCAATCCTTTTCAATAAAAAAACACCCTGAAGGGTAAAATCTGTTAAGCCTTGAGCCTCATCCATCCTTTATTGCTGTATAAAGATAATTGCCCCAGCTCTGTTTTTTAAATCCAACGCAGGAAGTCGAGTGAACACAAAGTACTCAAATTTCTGTCTCTTTCCTCACACCATTACCAGGCATCGTGAAGTTTAACGAGGTGTACCTGGGTGAGGGAGGGCCAGACACTTCTGAGTTCCAGGACGGTGCTAGGAGTCCTCATGGAGGAGGTTCTGTGTCTTTGGATCAGTACATCTGCAGCGCTAGAGAGGCACTGGGAGTGGACAGCCATCACAGCAGGTAGACATTAACACAAAGAAAAACAAGTCTTCTAGTTCAACAAAATGGCCGCGATTTAAAATGTGTTCTGATGCTTTGAGGATGTGACTCTCTGCCCTGGGCGGCATGACCTCTGGGATGCCACAAGCAACAAAAAAATGTGTACAGTGAAAATATGTTTTTTTTTATTTTTTTTTAGTTCTAAGTAAGTAAAGTTTTAGCATATTTTAGTTTTTTTTTTTTTTTTTTTAGTTCTAAGTAAGTAAAGTTTTAGCATATTTTAGGATAAAACAAAGTGTTTCAAGCATCAAAGGATTCTAAAACTACTAGATTGAAGTTTTCAGCTGGACTTTAGAGAAAACTGTTGATTTATGGAGTGAAATTTATTACATTTTTGTTGAAAAAAAACAGCTTTTGTAAATATAAAAAAAAAATATTTTTGAAAATGGAAAAAAATGGAATTCAGAAATTAAACTTTCAAAAACCTTTTAATAAAAAAGATTTGAACTCAAACCTCAGACTGTTTTCCCCAAATAAGTTTATTTTTTCTTTTCAAATGTTTTCAAAGATTACTAAATACTGTCAGACAACTGCATGTCTAAAATGTCAGTATTTAATCCTAATCTCTCGGACTGTATTGAGTCCTACTTTTTCTTTACATTTTGTAATGTTACAATCACAAACCTGCTTTATTTGACCAAAATGAAATATGCTTTGCAATAATAATTAAACATGGTTTACACTGTTCCAGAAACAGAACAGCAGGACTGTTTACTCATACTATTTCGGAGTGAAAACAATCTAAACCATGCAAGTAGGGATATTGCAGAGAAAGTAAAGAACATAAAGGCAGCAGAGTTTGTGCTGTTATAGTTCTGTGGGTTCTTAAAGAGATGAGGCAGAGCCATGTTCAAGTCAGGAAGGAACATTTATTTTCTTCCTCCTGGGAACATATCATCCTGTCATCCAGTGAATCTTACCTAGAAACCACTACAGAGTTCGGTCAGTGTTGAGATTCAATTCAATTCAGTTTATTTCTATAGCGCTGATTCACAACACATGTCCTCTCACCAGATCATCCAGTCAAATTGATTCAAAGTTTTCTATCTAAGGAAAACCAGTTGATTGCATCGACTCAAATGCAAACCCTCACACTAAGCATGCTTGTAGCGACAGTGGAGAGGAAAAATTCCCTTTTAACAGGAAGAAACCTCCAGCAGAACCAGGCTCAGTGTGAGCGGCCATCTGCTGAGGCCGACTGGGGTTCAAGGAGACAGAAGCAAAGATACAAAAAGCAGCTGTAAAAGGCGGCCCTGTCGCGGTCAGAGAAACAGGACTGCACTGGAAAACAGGCCAAGATGACGTTCTTTAGAAAAGAGACGTTTCAAAACGATTATATGAAATCTTTCTATCACAGAAGCATCTATGGAAGCCTATTGCATTCACCAAAAAAAAAAAAAACTATAATTACGAGATACCGATATCATAATTGTGAGTTTTTATCTCTCATAATTATGAGATCCTTTCTCATAATTATGAGAGAAAAACTCAGAATTATGAGAAAAGATCTCGTAATTATTAGATAATATGTTATATTTAGGAGTTTAGGAAGGACATTCATCGCCGAGCTTCGCTACATGTTTCGCTCTGTTTCTGCAGGAGCAATTAAACCAGCACTGGATCAATGGCGTAAATATCGGTAAGCAGAGAGCTAATGGGGCCCACGACTTCTTAGGGGCCCATAACTGACACCTGGTGGGCCCCCTACGCAATTGTAGAGTAAGACGTCTCTGTGCAAATGTAAAAATGTAAAATTCCTCTTAAACCCACCAGATACTGAAGTGAAATAAGGAAAACTTGCCAGATTTCAGCATGATGGTGAGGCGTTTAAACACGACATCAATAGCAAAGAAGACAGTGGTGCTTTTAATTACTATGTTAATAATTGTGTGTAGTTCATTAGACGATTGGTAAAAAATACACTCATATGATATGTTTCAAACCGCAATAAAGATCTTAAAAGAACAATGTATTTGAGTTTTTATTTTTTACAATACGGCGTGGAATTATGAGTAACCCAGAGCGTAGATTAAAACAATAACCGTTATGACAATGTGTTAGCGACGATGGATAGCAAAAAGAGGTACTTAAGTGGATTCCAGAAAAGAAAAAGGAAAGAAGAGCTGCTGGAAGAGCGGAAAAAACTTCCCAAAATAAACACGTTCTTTGAAAGAACCGAAGAGGGAGAGGAGGACGTTGCTGCTGCAGTGAATAAAGATTGCCACCAGGAGATGAATGGAGAGAGCGTGGGTGAGGAGGGGGGCTGTGAAGCTGAATGTAGCCCCATGGCTTGTTGTGCTAATATACTAAAGTATATCCATGTCTAGTGAAGGTGAAGAATGAAGAAGTGTGTGGTAGTGCGCTCTTACCACTGGTTCCATTCAAGGTGCGCAGTCACTATTTTTCCCATGTGTGATGTGTGATCATATACTACTGGGATTTGCATAATTGTTTCTTCTTGGCTGATTTATGGAACCGTCGCTGTTTCCTGAACCTTTATCAGGTGTTGTACTTCATATGGGGCCCACCCAGATAATGTTGCTTAGGGGCCTATTGTTGTGTCATTACGCCATTGCACGGGATGCTTTATGGTTATAAATGAATGCATAGGAAATGCATTTCAGCTGGCTTGGTGGTTTCCCAAAGAACTATCCACTGGTACCTTCCCAAAATCCTAGATCCTCAATGAGTTCAGCTGAGGCTTCAGAATCGTTTAAAACGACCAAGTCCCAACTTTATATGGCACCTTGATTCATATGAAAAACTAAAACCATACGGAATCTGTATTATTGGAGCTGTTGACGGATTTTTGCATATGGTCATAAGGCTGCATGCTTACTCCACAAGTAGTAATCCCTGGTTTAAAGCTGGGTACCTTATTGATGAAGTGGAAAACAGGAGCAGAACTCCAATGTGCATCACTTCAGACCTGGGAACAAACAAGATCTCTTTTCCAGTAATTATGAGAAAAGATCTAATAATTATGTGTTAAAATCTCATAATTACAAGATTGTTATCTCGTAATTACGAGATCTTTTCTCATAATTAAGAGATAAGATCTCCTAATTACGAGATACCGATCTCGTAATTATGAAATCTTATCTCATAATTAGACAGATCTTTATGAGATCTTATCTCATAATCTTATCTCGTAATCAGACAGCTTATCTCATAATTACGAGATACTGATCTCGTAATTATGAGCTAAGCTGTCTGATTTTCTGTTCTTTGGTGATTGCAATACGCTTCCGTACCAATCAGTGTCACGTATACGTTTCTAAGCTCCTTGCAATAGAGAGAGGGAGCTTATAAAAAGTCACTGTGATGTTTGAAGTAATTATAACAGATGATTCATTTAACAACAGATAAAATTAATATCAATGATTTGATTGGGAAAAAAAACATAAATATTATTCCTTGATGACATCACAATAACCAAAAAAAGTTTGAAGAGGTGTGAATACTTTTGCTGTATTTAATGTGTCCATAGTTCAAGGATTTGAAAAAGAAGCTGTGAAGCTAAAGGATAGAAAAGTTCACCGAGCCGCACCTGTGAATCTTTGTGTTTTCAGAGTTTGCTCCAGCAGCGAGACGGAGAGCGAAGCCGGAGATCTTTTAGAGCAACAGTTTGAGGAGCTGAACAACAACCTCCCAACGGGCTACCTCCGCATGGTGTCCAGAAATAACCGCTTCAACAGGTCTGAGTTCAGCTTTATAAACACATCACTGAACTCTAATCATTAACATCCAGAGACGTCCTCTAAAAAAATACATCCTGCCCTTTGGGTTATTAAGGTTTAATACTGACGCAGTAACTCCTCCTTCATTTCTTCGTTAGTAAACTGGTTTAATTGGTTTGCCGGCCGCCTGCACTTTTACCGCTGTATCTATGAGTCATACAGTTCGATCGGTTAAAAGTTTCCTATGGGGTTCGATAACTGTCAATAAAAATAAATGCATGTCTCTACATTTGTGAATGTCAGTCAATAAGATTGTCTAAATTTAAGATTTCTATTTGTTCTAAACCTTTCTGACAGCAGATGTTTCATCTGGTAGATGGTAAGAAGACAACTTACAAACTTGCCACCAATAAAAGAACACAAGTATAAATCACAACTAACACATTTAATATATTAATAGGCTATAATAAATTTACGCACACAAATACAAAATGCATAATTAGTGCAAAACCTCAAACCTACAAATACAAGTCACAGAATTACAAGTACAGTTTGCGAAAATGAATTGTAAGTTTGTAGTTTGCACTTTTAAATTTGTGATTTTTATGTCTAGTTTTGCAAACTTCTAATTTCTATACTTATATTCTCATAAATGAAACATCTGATGTCACATGTATGTATTAGTTGGCAGCAAGAAACAAAAGCAAATGTTATATTTTAAGTTTATTGACTCGCAGTTACAAATTCAGACATGCATACCTTCTCATGGACAGGTTGAAGGAGGTTTTGGACGACCCAAATGCAGAGACAGAAGCTTGTAGATTAAGTCATTCAAAAGGGTGGCAACTTAAACAGGAAATACATGAGAATTAAAAACTTATAACCAAAAACAACTAGAATAATACAAAATGGAAATTAAACCAATAAAAACTCAAAAATAAAAATAAAACAGATCCTAAGCCAAGACCTTAAAGAATGAGCATGTGGTGACAGCAGACATTCGGCTGCATTTTGTTGCTCATTCTGAGCGGCATTCTGCTGAGGCCAGATGGGAATTCAAGAACCAGAAGCAGAAATACCAAAGGAATAAAAAAAAACACTGATCTATGTCTTCTATTTTAGAAAAAGTAACATTCATCACTACAAATAGCCTCAATCTAATTACAAAACAACTGTCGCCAAAAATATATTGGTTACAACATAACCAGAAGAACAAAGACCATTTATAATGTGTTTGTGTGGAGCAATGACTCTTGTTTGAATGGTTAGCCAAGGCCTGGACGATAACACTGTTTAAAAACCATTGCATGCGTATTCGATTTAGTACATCATGTGGAAATGAAAACAGTCTGATTTTATTGGAGGATAAAAAGCCATTCTGGCTGCCATTAAAAAGTCAGATGTGAGTTGCATATGAAAAGCAGATTTAAGCGCCATTTGCCTGCAGTTTAATCATAACCTTATGAAATGTTTTCCTGATGTCCGCCTCTAACAGGAGCTGTCGGAGTATGACGAGCCTTTACAGTACTACAGTGTCTCCTGTGAAGGATGGCTTATCCTCCCCGCTGTGTCGACCCATCCATGCTGGCAAACCTCCTCTACGAGCCCTTTATGACTTACTCATCGCACCCATGGAAGGGGTATGTGACACAAAACATTTTTTCTTTATTAGTCTCCCTCAGAAAAAAATCCCACAAATTTCACAGGCGAAAATCACATGCGCATGTACCACATGTGAAAGTAACACATGGTACATGTAATATACATGTGCATCTTATAAAGAAGCAGACGTATACTATGGATTTGGAATGCTTTATGTTAAAACCACGTTTTCACTTGTGATACACATGTGCTTTACACATGATTCCCATGTGATACACATGGTTTCACATGTGAATCACATGCTTTTGACAGGAAACATTCCAAATCCACATGTATATCTGTGCTTTTTACATATGATTTACATGGTTTACATGTTGTTTACATTTGTCTTTCACAAATGAAATTGATGGAGATATTGTGTATAGGTTGCATGTGGTACATGTAAAAGGCATGTCCCACATGTGAAAGTAACATGGTACATGGTATGCACATGTGCATCCTATGAAGAAGCAGACGTATACCAGGGATTTGGAATGGATCATGTTAAAAATCATGTTTTCACTTGTGATACACATGTAATTTACATATGATTCACATGTTTTACACATGGTTTCACATGTGAATCACATGCTTTTGACACGAAACATTCTAAATCCACATGTATATATGTGTTTTAAAGTATGATTTACATGGTTTACAAGTTGTTTACATGTGTGTTTCACATATGAAATTGATGGAAATGTTCTGTATTGGTTGCATGTGGTATATTCAAAACGCTTTGTACCACATGTGAAAGTAACACATGGTACATGCAATGCACATGTTCATCTTATGAAGAAGCAGACGTATACTATAGACTTGGAATGTATCATGTAAACATCATGCTTTCACTTGTGATACACATGTGCTTTACATGTGATACACATGGTTTCACATGTGAATCACATGCTTTTGACATAAAAAATTCCAAATCCACACGTATATATGTGCTTTTACATATAATTTACATGGTTAACAAGTTGTTCACATGTGACTTTCACATATGAAATTGATGGAAATATTCTGTATAGGTTGCATGTGAATCACATGTCAAATTATGTGACTCATATGCTTTTGACATAAATATTCTAAATTCACATGTATACATGTGCTTTTACATGAGGGTAATGTGTGGTACATGAGTTTTCACATGTGAAATTGTCTGTCCCGGTTTTTCGACAAATGTAAAAAGTGGAATAGACAGGGCACAATCCAAAATTATTGACAATTTAAAAAAAATCTTAATATTGTGCACATGTGAGAAATATGGCATCATAAGTTCCACATGTGATCAAAAGTTGAATAGAGCACAGATTACATGAACAAGATGTAAAAATGTGACACACATGCGGAAAATTACAATAACTTCTACAATTTATGGTATTTGATGTGGGAGCCGAGAACCACATGTGAAAGATGAGGATCATATGTGTTTTGCATGGGATATGGAAAGTTTGATTGTAAAAGTACTGTGATTTACATATGTTCACGAGTAATACAAGTGATTTATGTGTTATCACATATAATACACACGTAGCTTGTATTTGATTCACATTTGATTCACGTTTTCACGTTAATCACAGTGATATACATTGTTTCACATGAGATTCCCAGTCAAAGTACATTTTGACTCTCATTCCACTGACAATAAACATTCTAAATTCATGTGTACACATGTGCTTTGCCATGAGATTCACATGTGCTACATGAGCTTAACGTGATTTTCATACATGACATTTTCAGTTTGTTTCAGTTTGACATGCTCTTTCACATGTAACATCTATGGGATTTTTTTCTCTCAGGGTGTAAAAAAAGTCATTAACAGAGGATGGTCTAATGATATTCACACGTAAAAACATCTTAATATGTGGTGCACATGTGAGAAATATGCCATCGTAAGTTCCACATATACTCAAAAATTGAATTAAGCATAGATGACATGGACAAAATGGTTGATCACATGGTGAAAATGGGCGTCCTGTTTCATTGTGGTGTTGTAACGCTATTGTTGCTCTCTTGCCTGAATCCCTACAGGGCCTGATGCACAGCAGTGGACCCGTTGGCAGGAACAGACAGCTTGTTGTAGTTCTGGAGGGAGAATTGTACCTGATCCCATTCGCCTTGCTTAAGGGCAGCTCGTCTAATGAGTACCTGTATGAAAGGTTTAATATCATTTCCGTCCCTTCACTGGCCAGCCTGCAAGCTGCGAGCAAGGTAGACAATTCCTCCTCTGATGTTACCTTTTTATCTGACCCTAACCTTATAGGCGTGGTTGTTTCCGTGTTCTCCCTTCAGGCTCGTCCTCGCTCCAGTGGGGCTTCTCTTTCTCCAGGTGGAGGGTCGGTGGCTGCAGTAGTTGGGGCCCCTCGCCTGCCTCCTAGTGTCATGGACCGCTGGCTGTGGGGGCCCTTACCCTCTGCCCAAGAGGAGGCTCTGTCGCTGGGGGAACAGCTGGGCTGTCGTCCCCTGACCGGAGCGAACGCCACCAAGGAGCGTGTTTTAGCGGCTCTGAATCAGGCAGAGTGTGTTCACTTTGCAACTCATATATCCTGGAAGCTCGCCGCAGTGGTTCTCGCCCCCAGCCAAGAGCACACCTTAGGGGATGTGCCCAGCAGCCGGCGAAAGGAGAACACGCTGATTGGAACGTCGACGTTAGGAGAAGCTGTGGATCAGGAAGGGAAGACAGAGCATTTGTTTCCCAGGACTTACAGCAGCCCAGAGAGGCTCAGAGGAATGGAGGAAAGAAGTGAGGATGGGGAGAGTGTCTGTGGAATGGAGGGGGCGTGCGACAGTGCACCGCTTCACGACTTCCTCCTCACTGCTGCCGATATCCTGGACCTGTGCCTCTTAGTCAAACTGGTGGTTCTGAGGTATAACCTGTTCACACGTTAACAGCTAGTTAGCTCTGATGCCACCAGTTAACGTCTGATTCTGTGCCGCTATAGGTTGTACCCGGAGTCCAGCTGCCGAGTCACGGCTGATGGATTAGTGGGTCTGACCCGTGCCTTCTTGGCTGCAGGCGTTCAGTGTGTGTGCGTCTCTCTGTGGCCGGTGCAGATCGCCGCCTCCAAACTCTTCATGCACACTTTCTACGCTGCCCTCCTGAGTGGAACCAAAGCCAGCGTGGCTCTGACAGAGGCCATGAAGAACCTGCAGAGCAGCAAGCACTTCTCACACCCCTCCAACTGGGCTGGTGAGCAAGAGGAACCCAAAGAACAAAAAAACAGCCCCCAAAAATACAAAAAATTTCACTCAAGAGCAGTTTTATGGGGTGAATGTTGTACCATTATTTTGCAAGCTAAGAAAAATTTCAGAAACTGAAATAGAAAAAAAAAAAATGAAAGAATGGAAAAACTCCTGAAAAACGATTTTAAAAAGTGTGATGAAAAAAGGGCTTTAAGTTAAACTTTGCTGCATTTCCCATTTTTTTTCTAATTTAATTAAAAAAACTTATTTGATTTTTTTCAGTTATTTTATTTATTTATTTCTGTCTTCAGATAAAAATGTACAAATTGCATTATTTCAAGTTGAATTTAAAAGATCTTTTTTTTTTTTTTACTTCAGACGGCAAATTTTATATTTTCAAATGCAAATTAAATATATAAAATTGTATAAAAAAGCGATTTAAAGTTTTTAATCTAAATAGGTAATTTAAAACATAAATTTCGAAAACAATAAAAAAATAAAAAGCAGCTAAATTACTCTCAAAAAATTTTTTTGATTCTAAAATTTCATTTCACTTTTTTCAAATTACGATTAAAAAATGTGTTCCTTGCTTGCGACAACAATGGCACAAAATTAACTCCATATATGATTTATTCACGTACATTTGGGGATGAATTTTATATTTCAAAATACATTTTGAAAAGACCCAATGAGTGATTTTAACTCTGCAATAAAAAAAACCTAACAATTCATTTAATTAGATTTTAAGTAATGTGTTCCAAATTACTTGAATTACCTCTAATTCTTTTTCTTTCTGTGGAATGATCTAAAAAAAAAATGTACTGTTGTTCCCCAACACTCTCAGCTGCTGTGTTAAGAAGAATAAACAAACATTTCAGTCCCTAGATGTTTAAAGTTGATAGAGACAAACATTTAAAGACTTAAAGATGTAATCACAGTAAAAAGTGCTTAAAAAAAGTATTGATTGTCCCCCACAATCAATACTTTTTTGAACCACTTTGAACCACTGAATACTTTTGCACAATGCCCTTTTGTTCTATTAAAAAAAAGAGCTATAGTATAATTTTCATTCTACCTCACAGTTGTAAAGCACTCTGTGCTGATCAGAAGATTAGAATGAAATAGATATTAATGTTTGTGGTTATAATGGGACAAAATGTTAGAAGGTTCAAGAGGTTTGAATACGTTTTTCAAGCCCTTATAAATCCAGGCAGTGATTTACCATGAGGTGCTGGGAGTTTGTTTGATCTGAGCTGGATTGCAGTTCTGGTATTTGCAGATCTAGTCCTGCACCTGGACTTTACTTGGTCTTTATAAGAATCGCATCAATGAGATGCAGAGAGAGGACTCTAACCAAGAAGCTGAGACTGATGTTTCCAGATGTTGCTGCTGCTGAAGCACCAGAGGGGCAATCGCTGCCAGTTTAATGTATTCTCTGATAGCCGGCTGTTTGTCTTCCTTCAGGCTACATGCTGATAGGCAGCGATGTGAAGCTGAACAGTCCCATGTCGCTGGTCGGACAGGCCTTGGCAGAGATCCTGCAGTACCCAGAGAAAGCCAGGGATGCCCTCAGGGTGCTGCTGCACTTGGTGAGCTCTCTTTACACGTATGAAGCTCCCCCCCCACTCTGCTTTGATTGAACTTCATTTAAACTGTGGGGAGATGGAAGCAAAACTTTTCCATAAATGTTTTTATAGAAATATGTTTCTTAATTGAAATTAAAAAAAAAAGAGTTGTGTATTAAAAAATAAAGATTTAGCCTACTTTGTTGTTGTTTATGGTCAACCTATTTCAACAGAAAGGTACGGAAGGGGATTAGGGCCACTGAAAAAGAAAAAAAAAAGTTAACTGATTTTTAAATATTATTTCAGTTTAATATGGGAAAAAAGTCAGAATTCTGACTTTTTTCTGAGAATTATAACTTGTTTTCACGACTCAGCCACGACCTCCGACACAAAACTCTCCTCCTCTTGCATGTTTCCTCTGTCCATAGCGTTCCTTGTCAGTGTCGTTTCTAAGTCACCAATTTAGTGCTACTTGGTCCCAATGTAATTTCCCATTGGGAACCTACTAGCACTAAGTTGCTAACTGGTTAGCAAGATGCTTCAGACAAACCGGCCAAAACTAAACCTTCTTGCAAACCTGCTGCAAACCTTCCGCCACAACAATCCCGCCCTCTTGATAAACAGCCAATCACATTCACTTTATTCACTCGTGTAAAGTCGTGCACCACTCGAGACAATTCAGAACTGCAGAGATTGGAACAGCCGCTTCCCTACGAATTTAAAATAGAGACCCCTTTCTTATCGCCTTTCTTTTCAAATGTGCAAAGTTATTTGATGTGTTTTGAATTTATACACCAGTTTTTTTTTAAGATTACTGCGCTCTGCTGGTGTATTATTCATTATTTTTGTTTTATGCATTGTTTTTTTTTCAGTTTGTTGGTAAATAAAGCCCTTTGTTTATATTTACAATAACAAAGAAGGACTAATACAGAGCCTGTTGATGAAGGAGCCTACTATGGCTAAGCCAGTTAGCTCCTCCCAGGGAAGTGAGGATATAATGAGTAAAAGTCAAAAATTCATTGTGAAAAAACACAAAAAAACATTTGCTTCTATGAGGGATCAGACAGGAACAGAGCTGAGGAAAACGCCTGAATGTTGGTCTTCACTGAAGAGGAAGGTAAAGCTATCCAGGCTAGACTGTCACACTCTTCAGAAAGTTACAAATGATGTCACCAGTGTGACAGAAATCAGGGAAGTAAACAATGGAGGGAACCAGAGCGTAGTCAGTGTGCTGTATTGTTTCATTCTTTTGTCCCTCTGAATCCCTCTGACCAGTTTATCAAATGTAAGCAGGGTTGTTTCTGCTTGTTAACTTAGGCATGACTGCCACAGTGTGTTGACACCCTTACACTGCGCTCAATGGTATCACGTAAATTAGTGGGTCGACCCAGTTCGGGTGTTCCCACTTTATGCTGATCTGAAGCTGAGGCATTTCAAGGCAATTTTAACCACTTGACACAGGTTAACGCATGTAAGGGAGCCATTCCCACTGCCACTAAAAGCTCATTGCTCCCGGGTTTACAAAAGTAAATCAGCCAACGGGAAAGGGGTAATAGAGTTGCTGTACATCTGTTTATTTTACAATTATTATTGGGTCTTTGATCATACTGATAGTTCTACAGTTCTGCCAGCAGATCGTCTCATTGCACCCGTTGCTGGAATTCTTTTCAAGCTCAAAAATGATCTAAGCTATCTAAGGATTGCCAGGACAGACACTTGGTGTAATTTATCATAATAAATGGTTTCTGATTATAATGTGACTATGCACCTTTAAAGTGATGCTTGGGGTTAATTTTCTTTACAAATCACATTTTGTTGATCTAAATTCCTTATTTCAAACACTTGTTTAACAGTTAATAGTAAAGTAACATACAGTAGTAAACTGTATATAGGCTTTGTTTAATTGTATGTTTTATTTTTGTTCCGCTTCACAGCTGTGCAAAGCTGTTTGCTAGTCTGTAAAGAGACAACGCGGCTGTGTTTGTTACCTGATTGAATGGAGATTTAATAGTCCCCCAGTATTTTAACACATGCCTCTCCACAGGTGGAAAAGTCCCTGCAGCGCATTCAGAGCGGCCACTGTAACCCGATGTACACATCACAGCAAAGCGTGGAGAACAAGGTCTGTGTTGTGGTCTTTAAATCCCACCCTCCTCTCCCCAGTCTGCTCCTCCTCATGTCTCCTCTCTGCTCCTAAGGTCGGGGGAGTTCCCGGGTGGCAGGCCCTCCTGTCCGCGGTGGGTTTCCGGCTGGAAGTCTCCGGCTGCGCTGCCGGCCTCCCTGCCGCTGTGTTTTTCCCAACGTCTGACCCTGGAGATCATCTGCAGCAGTGCAGCACCACGCTGCAGTCTCTGCTCGGTACCGGAGCTGTTTCATTATTCAATTCAAACTCTCCTCTCCTATCAGTCACACTGCTTAATTAAGAACCTGGGTCACATTTAACCCACCAACAGCTCATTTTAAAGCTCATATTGCAGTTAAAGGTGTGCCAACCCTGTTTTTAATCCCTCCAGGTCTGAGCCCTCCGGCTCTGCAGGCCCTCTGTAAACTGGTGACAACGTCTGAAGCAGGAGAACAGCTCATTCACAAGGTACCAGAAACATTCAGCTATGGTAGATTCTATAGAGGGACAAAGGGGACACAAAGAAAAATAGCTTGAAATAAATAGCTGTAAATGATTAATGGAAGAAATAAATGTAACATAAAATTTATTTAAAGTAAATAAAGAAATGTAACATTTATTTATTTAATAACCCACTAAAAAATTAAATGTACAGTTTAATAATGAAATGTAAAATTAGATAATTAAATTAACCATTTATGTATTTAAGAAATTATTAAATAATAATTAATATGGGGATGAGTACATAGGAAGCCTCACGTAAACATATCACCAGAATGATTGACAATTAGGAGAACCACTTATTTAGATCATCCACTCAGAAAAAGAGCATCCTCCTCTATACCTATAAGTAACTCACAATGGATGGAGTAATCAGACATTTTACTCAAGTAAAAGTAAGAAGTACAAGGCTGTAAAACTACTCCTAAAAGTACTTTTTTTTTTTAAGTTACTAAAGTAGATGTACCAGAGTAAATGGAACTAGTTACTACCCACCTCTGTCCTGTTTGCCTTTCCTATCCTGACATGTTCATCTCATATTCTTTCATTTCTAAATGCTGTTAAACGTGTTGTTTTTAAAAAGGAGCTTTTAAAGTTCCACTTTGGTTCTTCCATTGGTGGTTGTTCCCTGTGGGCCTAGCAGCAGCATCATCTTCACTCATCATTTCCATTAACTGATGTTCATCCATGTATGACTGAATCTGCAGGGCCTCAAAGCCAGGATTCACACACAAAGAAAAACTCTAAAGCTCTGTGTCCTCTTCTTTATTCATGCATCTCAAAGGCAGTTAAAAGCATGGTGGGGATGGTAAGTGTTTCCTCATGAAATTACTGAATTAGAGGGTTTCAGAAGGAGCCCAGTCGGCCTCACAGAAACTCTGTTTCCCAAATGCGTTAAAACTCCTGATGTGTTTGTTAGAGGATTGCTTTTTGAAGTGTATGTTTTCAAATGTGATGATAGAAATATGTCAGAGGTAGGAAAGGCATTCAGGGAATGAGGTTGGAGGAATCAGTCCATGCTTTTGGTCACATCTTTCTTCCTCTCTGAAGCTTCATCAGGTGCTGGTGCAGCTGCAGTCAGGCGACAAAGACCAAGACTTCCCGCTGGCTCCCGTTCAGGTATCGATAAGCGTCCAGCTCTGGAGGCTCCCGGGTTGCCATGAGTTCCTGGCTGCACTCGGTGAGTCGCCAAATTCATTTTTTGTTCTCTGCCATCTTTAATGTATCTATTTTATTGAGATTTTATCTGACAACCAACGCAAAGCAGAGTAAAGTCGTTACAATCAGTTCAGGCTGCTTTACAAGATCGGGATGAGGTAGTAGCTCACTGGTCCACTGCAGGGAAACAGAGACACACCTGGTCTAAAATGCAAACCTTTCACATTTATATGGAGAACAAGCAACTAGGCAGCTCCCGCTGCAGAAAGGATTATTAGTGACCTGTTTGTGATTTAATGTCAGTATAGATCTGGCTGTTCTGTTATGACCTCAGAGAATAAAACTAAAGTGAATGGAAAGGATGGCATTAATCTAAAAAGTAGCCAAAAGGCTTAGAATGACAGTGGAATATGGAGTGAATTAGGTTACGTTAATGTTGGAGGCAAAGATTATGTTTTGTAAATAGATATCTGAAAAAAGGTGCACCAGAAAGAAAACTTGAAATGGAAAAAAAGAAAAGTTTTTTTTTTTTTTTTTTTACAGTAACTTTACTGTTTCCTCAGATTTCTTTAATATTTCGTTGTTTGTTTTTTTAAACTGTAGGGAAATCACATTTAAATGTCAAATCATTCTGGTTTAAACATGTATATAAATGTACACTTTATCACACTATATTGTCCCAAAATGTATTTTTTTTACAGATTTTACATTTTTAACACAATTCAGTTAATATCTATAGCGCCAATTCAGAACATAAGTCATCTCAAGGCACTTTACACTTCAACCAGATCATACAGTCAAATTGATTCAAAGTTTTCTATCTAAGGAAAACAAGCTGATTGCTTCGACTCATTGACTCGAAGCTAAGCCCGCAAAATTTCAAAATCTTCGTTTTTCAAAAGTAGATTTTTCAAGAAAATATTTTGTTGGTTTTCAATTTTTTTTTTCAAGCAGACAGTATAACAGATTAGGAGGATCAAATTCCCACATGAACGTTTAGGATCAGCACATGCTCCTCCAGGATCTGATTGAGGGTGGTTCTCCAAAACAAACAAAAATAGTTTTAATCTAATTTAATTGGCTCCATTTGTGCAGCAAAACATTTCATTTGTGCTGCTTTTGTTTTAAAGTTATTGACTAAATTGTTAAGGTTGAAAAGTTTAAACTTTTGTCAAATGGAAAATGTTCATTCAATGTAAGGTGAAATGTGTTCCATTATTGTTGCAAACACACTTTGTAGATGGAAATTTGAAGAAAAAAAATACAAATAAATAAACATATTTATATTCATCTTTTTGGACTGTGGGAGGAAGCCGGAGTACCTGGAGAGAACCCACGCAGCTTCAGGGAGAACATGCAAACTCCATGCAGGAAGAGCTGGGCATCAAACCCGGATCTTCTTGCTGCAAGGCAGCAGTGCTACCCACTGCACCACTGTACAGCCCACTTTGAAAAACATTTTAATAAAAGACATATAAAAAATATAAAAGTTGATATATACCTGAGAGTAACTTTAATGTTTATTTTTCATATTTTATTTCGAATTATTCTTTTTTTTTCCAAAAAAAATTTTTTTTTATTTAATTTAGTAGGTTTTCAAGATTTTTAACAGATTTTTAACTTTCTTTTTGTTTTATAATTTAAAGATTTTATACTTTTAAATTTTCACTTTTCTGTTTTTCAGAATGAGTTTCTTGAAAAATTGCATTTCACGGATCTATTATCTCTCCTTCTGGGGGCGGGCTTTCCTCTGGAGTGAGGATGCATCATTTCTATTGGTCAATATGTGCATTGAAGTTTTTTGGTTGTATCATGACTAAACTGAGAGAATATTAAGGAGTGTGAATATTTTTCACAGTGTGATACTGCAGAGGTTTTGTCCTCGGCTTCGTCTTGCGTTCTTTGTGGGAAAGTGTTATTGTTTTTTAATGTCAGGTATAATTAGTTTTCTCTGGTCTCATGTAGCGTTGCATGTTTTGCAGGCTTTGATCTGTGTGAGGTCGGTCAGGAGGAAGTCGTGTTAAAGACTGGAAAACAAGCCAGCAGGCGGAACATGCATTTTGCACTTCAGGCTCTTCTTGCCTTGTTTGGTGAGAAAAATCGATATATTTTCCTCTAAATCGAATCATTTTGACCCCGTTTCTCAGCAGGCTTATTGGTTGATCATCTTTGTTTCCTCATCAAGATTCCACAGAGCTTCCCAAGCGGCTGAGCATGGACAGCTCCTCGTCCCTGGAGTCTCTTTCCTCCTCGCAGTCGGCCTCCCAGCCTCACTCTCTGCCCGTCTCTCTCAGCTGCTTCCCACCTCAGCCCTCCTTCGCACCCCCAGGCTGCTCAGACAACCTCTCCTGTGACGCCATCTCCGTCTACAGCCTCAGCTCCCTCGCCTCCTCTCTCAGCTTCCTTTCCCGCCCTGAGCCGGCGGGAAGCGACATCATCAGCCATCGCTCACATCCACAGGAGCCAGAGAAGCAGGTGGGAGGACCGGGCCCACACCCCTCTCACCGCCACGCAGGCGGCCTGTCCAGGGGCCGGCTGACCAATCACAGAGGAGCGCTGGCGGGAGTCGATGACGAGGAGTACGAGGGCTTCTCCATTATAAGCAGCGAGCCGCTGGGACGCGCAGGGAGGGAATGCGACACGCTGCCGCTCCCCGCGGGACATCGAACTGGCAGAGGGGGTTCTGGGAGAGGATGCGCGGCGGGCCAGAATCTGACGCTGTCCTCCAAGGGGAGCCTCAGCACGCCGACCTCCCCGCTTAAAGCTCCTCCGCTGATGCTGACGGATCCTACAAACCATAAAATGTACGTTTACAGTTTACACAAATAAGCCATCAGGCTTAAATTTGACTAGGCCACTTCAAAACCTTTATTTTCTTAGTACAGTGTTATGTTTTATGTGTCCCATTAGCCAGGCTGGTTCATGTAGCCTTTGATTTGTTGTTTTTAAGCATTTCTCTGTTCAAACCTCTCTTCCTTTATCTCTTGCAGCTCTCTGCCTAAGCGAACGGTTAAAGGGAAAGCCAGCAGCTCAGAGTCGGACCAGTCCAGCACTGAAACAGACAGCACCGTTAAGTCCCAGGAAGAGAGGATGGGACCCGCCGGACAGCTGGATCCCCACGAACTGGCCAAAAAGATCCTGGAGGAAACCCACAACCACATGCAAGCCGTGGAGACGCTGCAGAAAGCAAACAGCCGTGTGAAAGCAGTGAGAGGAGCCGAGGGCCAGGAGGATCCTCTCGCCAGGCAGCCGTCTCTGTCCACGCCCACCACTCCAACATTTAAGCCCTCCAGGGGAGCGTGTGGCTTCCAGCCGTCAGAGACCAGCGCTTTTAGCAGACCTCCCAGCAGAGCCAGCCTGAAAACCTGCTCCTCTCCTTTCTCCGTCCGCAAGCATCTTTCTACCCTCCCCATCTCTGATCCAAGGCCTCCTCTGACTCCTCCTAAACCACCGTCCCGTTCGTCATCGCTGCAGAAGATCAACACGTCCTCTCCTTCTTCTCCTTCCTCGTCTCTCCCTGTGAGGGAGAAGAACTCTCCGCTCCTTTTCGCCTGCTCAGACGAGCATCGCAAACTGAAACACTCAGGCTCATCCTACAGCTGCGACGTATCGCCTTTTCGCTGTCCCGCCAACAGCGCCCCATCTCCAGCCTTCTCCTATTCCTCCACAGGCTCCGTCTCCTCCTCCTCCAGCCCGGCGAACGCCCCTGATCCCGGCCAGCCAAAGCAGGACACCAAGGTCCAGGGAATGAACAACCTGAAGGCCTTCTGGACCGGCGTGGGCCAGAAACAGGAGGCGCCGGCTTTACTCAGAGGTGGGAATAAAAAAATGAGCACAGTTCAGAAAGATGTTCTGGGTTTGCTGAATCTCTCGCCCAGACGCGCGTCCGGCAGGAAACATGAGGAAAACCCCAAACTAGAGCCCAAACCTCCTCTGGCTCCATCGGCGAATCTTCCAACAAACACTAAAGGAGGCGTCAAGCTTCCCTCTGGGAACGGATACAAGTTTCTCTCACCTGGACAGTTTTTTCCATCTTCGAAATGTTAAAAGTTTTTAGATTGATGAATCCTCAGGAAGCAGATTCATCTGGGGAGGGGGGGGCTGCCCCCTTTTTCAGTGAAATACAATTTTACCAAATCCCTGCTGAAGATGAGATGTAAAAAGGACAGTTTAATACTGACCTGACTTTTTATGTGTGTGTGTGTGTGGGTGGGTGGGTGTGTGTGTATATGTGTGTGTGTACAGTGCCTTGCAAAATTATCAATTTCAAAGGAAATTGATAATTTTGTGTGAATACTTTCACATTTCATCATGTTACAACAGCAAGCAGCATCTAATTGAATTTATAAAACAGACTAAGAGGTTGATCTGATGAAATAGAATTACTTTCACACCGTTTTTATTTTTTTCTCAGTTATAAAAGCCTGTAAAACATTAGCTGCTTTTCCATCAACAATCGAATTGCACAAATTAAAATGATAAAAAAAATACATTTTCTGATTCAAAAGTGTTAATGTTTTTCGGTTACATTGAAATTATTATCTTTTTTGCATAACATGATCTACAGCTGGACCTTACTGCCTTGTAGACAAACAAAGAGGATGACTGGCTAACTGGCTGACCCCTCTGCTAGCTGGAAACATTTATTTTTCTGACTCATGATTATTTTCTAAGCCGGTTCTGCATCTTGAATTTTGTTTCCTTTTCAACTTAAAGCTAGAGTGCGTAATTCACTGCGAAATGGATCCCCGCCCCTGCTTATCCCCCTCCAACAATACCGAGGCCTTCATGGTACAAAATGGCTTCCACAACGTCCACATCTAGTTTTGTATTTATTTGGTCGGTATAGACTTTATAGGCCTAACTTGCCTTAGTCACTTTCCAGCCTAACAGCGATCTCTACAGTCACTAGTTTGTCACCTCTGAGCTGCCGTAGAGCAAAGGTGTCTGTAGTTACGATGGGTTATTTCTAAGGTAAACATAAAGATTGAGACTTTCACTTCATAGATGATAATACATAAGATACTTATGTGTAATATACACATAAGTATCTTACTTGTATATATATATATATATATATATATATACACATATACACATTAGGGGTGTGCAAAATAATCGTCATGATGATGCATAGTGATTCTAATTTTCGTGATCTACTGCATCGATTCTTGACGCCAAGTATCGATTATTAATTAAAAAAA